GAGGCCCTGGTAGCGTGGCGGCAGACGGCTGGGGGAAGGGAGGGAGTACCCAGCCTGCAGCGGGCAGCCACTAGGGACACTATCAGTGCACGAATTTCGGCCTCTACTAAATGGTAGAATTTTAGAGGTAGAAAGATAGCAAAGAAAATCTAGTCCAACACGTCTTACTTATAAAGATGCCTTATTTTCTCTTTCTCTCCCCAGATCTCTTTCTGCCTTTCTCTCACCAAATATTAACCTGTTATTCTCACTACCCAGCTATCCTGTGCTCTTCTCATGGAAAAGGGAATAAAGGATATGATATTAGTTGCTATTTAACAAGCAAGGATTTCTTAATAACCCCAAACAATTAATCACTGATGATGTATTAGGTAAGAACCACTAGCTAGTAGGAGAGTATTTTAAAAAATATATTTTTATTGATTTTTAGAGAGAGAGAGAGGAAGGGAGAAGGATAGATAGAAACATCTATGAGAGAGATACATCTTTGATCGGCTGCCTCTTGCATGTCCCCTACTGGGGATTGAACCCGAAACTCCTGCATGTGCCCTGACTTGGAATCAAACCAGTGACCTCTTGGTTTATAGGTCAGTGCTCAACCACTGAGCCACACTGGCCCAGCTGTTGTTGGTTTTTTTTTTTAAGTTAAGCAACTTCATAGATTCTCTAATGGTACTGCTTCTTTTACCTCTTTATCCGACCATATCTTGATCATGCAATTGTTCGTTGCTCAGTAAATCTAAACAGAACATGGGGACCTAAATGACACACCATTTTTTTTTTTATGCCATCTCTTTCCAAATGGATTGGAAGTGACTAAAATTTTGTTATTCCACTTATAGTGCTGAGAACTGTACCTTGTTAATAAATGTTGATTGAATAAATTCACACTACGTTTAAAGTTATCAGAATGAGGTACTAATAGAAGAAAAATTCAAAAATCTACTTATGAGTTTATCCATCCTATGATCTAAGATAAGGTTAAAATATTTAATACTTAGATAATTTAATCTTATTAAAAAACTTAGAGCTTTCTGGTGGGAAATAAAGTGGTATGACTTAATATTAGGATATTCATCAAAAGGAATAAATTATTTACTGGAAAGGACCAACATTGGAATCTTTTACATTCTTACTCTCTGGCTGTATATAATTACTAAAGTGTATCTATCACAAGTGATAAGAAAATGGGCCCGAGTTCCAGAGATGGGGGACTTTGTATAAACTGAAGCAAATACTGTTCCCCAAGAGGAATATTGGATTTCTGTGGACTTTTTCTGTGTATGTGGTAAAATAGCTTGTTTTGTCTACTCCTTTACCCATTTCTTCCTACCACTAGGATTATATGGAACAAATTATTATAGATGATATATATTGGCTTTGCAATTTTTATAAATGAAAATTCAAATTTTACTAATCCCTGCATTTAAAAATATTAGAGGACATAAATTATATCATTTCAAAAAAAAATGGGGTCAACTTTTAAAAATGGGCTCCTGCTGGAGATAGCAGCTCAATTGCTTATACTAGTTGAACCAGATGACTTTAGGGAATTTTCTTCTTTGCTTTTATCTTATTATGACCATTTCCAAATAGAAGAATTTGATAAAGCAGTTTCAACGAATGTATCAAATACTTCACGGATACTTAACCAATCTCTTATTCTGGTGTTGGTTTCTTTTGCACGTTAACTTCCCAAGACGGGTTCCTTCCCTGACAGCCAGGCAAATTAATTGTTTCTAAAGCCTGGATCTTGCTGCTGTAAAAAAGCCTGTCAATATTAACAAGTGTCAAACTTGACTCATTTCGTAGTAGCTCTATATTCCATTCATCTAGTGTTAAAAATCAGTTATTTTTATTCCGACATGTGAGGGAAACACCACCTACGAGACTTGAAAGTGGCCCCAGAGATCATTTTACAGATGACACTGAAGTCCCATTGTGTTTGTGACTCAGCCAAGGTCACACAGCCTGTTAGTGGCAGAAACACTTCTATAATTTAGATTATGTCTCTCTTTTAGGGCCAAGATCTTCTATCTCTTT